TTAGCCTTGGATCTTCCCCCATTTACATTGCTATTCACTGTGAGTTGTCTGAACACTGCTTATTTTTTGGTGAAAACTGAAACCAAAAAGGCATTTAATGCTTTGGCTTTTGCCGCGTTTTCTGTTATTGCTTTTTCCTCTTCATTGAGTAATGGCCCTACTTTGTCATTAGTCCTCCTCTTGCTTCTAATTCACTTGTAAAATGTTTTCTTGTTACCCTTTATATATCCAGCTTATTTTGTGCTGTGGCCTTTTAAATTTTATCCCTATGTGCTGGTGTTTTTTTTAACTCATCCTGCATAATTTGACCTGGTTTTCGCTTGTTGTATGACTATATTTTGAGTTTCACGTTTCTGACAGTCTCCTAGGTAAGCCACGGTGGGCTCTTACCACACTTCCTATCATTCCGACTGGGATCAAGATAAAAGCGGGAGGCAGACCTGTTGAAAGTCACTCAGTAAGGCTAAATGGGTTGTAAACAAGAATGATGTCATGAAAAGTGCCTGTTATAGACCACCTAACCAGGAAGCAGAGGTGAACAACTAACCAAACCACCCAACGCACATTAGGTTGTGATGGGGGACTTAAGCCACTCAGACATTTGTTGGGAAGAAAATGTGGGAGGGACCACCAATTAGCCACTAAGTTCTTGGAATGCACCGGATACTTTTTATTACGAAGGGCGGAAGAAGCAATCAGGGAAGAGGCTGTTCTACATTTGATTGTTTCAAACAGGGAGGAGCTGGCTGAGACATTGAGGGCTGGATGAAAGTGATCAGGAAGCTGATAAGAGTTTTTGAGCAATGGTAGGAAGGACAACAGCAGGCTGATGGACTTCAAGGAGGCAAATTGGTACGTATGGTCCCATGGGAAGAAAGTGTAAGGGAAAAAAAAGTTCAGGACAGTTGGTCATTTTTCATTAAGGCCACAATTGCAAACTATCCCAATGCATAAGAAAGGTAGGAAGTACGATAAGAAATGGACAGACACATCGGTTTTTATTTTTTAAGAGGACCCTTTCCTAGATCCTCCTGGGAACCAACCGAAAGCTTCACAGATACTTTGATGAGAAATACAGAGAACTCTGGTTAAAATGCTCGTATTTAAAGAGGCGGAAAATGTACAATTCGAACATCGACATTTGCAATTGACAAATAAAAGGAATGCAGTACTTCTGGCTGCCACTGAGTGGCGCTAAAAGACAGGGTGATCCCGCTTAGCTCTCCTTCACCTCTCACATCTGAAGAAGTGGGCTGTGCCCACAAAAGCTCATGATACTATCTACATGTTTTGTCAGTCTTTAAAGTGCTACCAGACTATGTGCTGTTTTTTAAGTTTCTCCTAGCCTACAACTTAGGGATGCTCATGATGGTTTATTGTTTCACAGTTGGGGGACACCAAGAAACCAGGTGTTTGTGCTGCAGAGGACTATGGCAGAGAGATGAGGCATAAATAATGGTTAGGAAGGATGATGGTTACAGGAACACTATTATAGCTCCCTCCCTCCAATTTGTGGCAGAAAGGAGGGGTGGTAACTTGCAGTTCAAGGCAGAGTGGGAGAAGTCTGAGACCCAAATGGAGGGGGGGGGGAGTGCATGGATCTCTCCAAAGAGGAACCAGGGATTCACAGCAAGATAAAGCTGTGTTGACCACAACACGGCTAACTTAGACACTGCCCTTGGCGAGGACACTGAAGCACGACCTGCTCCGCCCGCACTGTGGAAACTGGGTGGGTTTATTACATTCATGGATTGAGGGATCCATCAGACACACACCACAAATAAGTCCATGCCAACCACTCACTCAGACAACAAAAAGAGGGAACTTCATGTTCAATGCAGCGGGTGAAACCCTGCCATGCTGTTTAAATTCAGAACTTCTTGTGCCCATGCTGACCGCTTTGCTGGACTGCATCGACCACGATGAGTCATCTTGTGATGTGATGTGATGGGGCATCCGCCCAGCACTGGCCCTTGAAGGTGTTTAAACCCAGCCCGGGGGGAGGGCTGGAACGTTGGAGCTGTGGAGACAGCATCTGTAGCTGGTAGGAGCCAATTAGGGCCCGACTGAGGTCAGTATAAATACAGGCTCCTGGAGGGTAGGACTCAGAGACCCTATTGCTCCAGCTGTGGAGTAGGAGAGACCTGGTAGCTAGGGAAGCTAGAGGCTTCTTGATTTAGAGCAGTGTTCAGGAAAGTCAGGCAGAGCTGGGGAAGCTCTGGCCAGGCAAGCTTCCAGACTGCAGGGAAGGCAACCAGGATACACAAAAGCAGCAGGTCCACAACCCCTTGCCAATGATGAGTGGCCATTTCAGACTGCAGTTTGCCCTGAGGCAGGGGCTAGATGAAGACTAGCAGTGAGTCACTGAGGCAAGGTGGGCATAGGGGGATTGAGAGTCCCCAGAGGGGGAGGACTCCAGAGTGTGGGGGCACTGTGGTAGGGCAGTACCCCAGTAGGAGGGCGTCACCATCTGAGAGAGCCATGGGCCCTGACATGGAGTGGTGGCGAATAACAGTAACAGCGGGTGAGACACCAGCCAGAAGGGGGCGCTCCAGCCCCAAAAATGCTAATTCCCTGAGTGACCAGCAGGAGGCGCCTTGGTGGTGAGGCCTGCCGTGTGACAGGGGCACGGTCACACCATACCTGGGAGGCTCACCTTCTCCACAGTGGAACCTGGTTTCCCGTGTCTCCCCAGAGGAAAGCCTTGTGTATTTTCACCCGACACGTGCCACACAAGAAAGCCGTCTGGGCTCAGGCCTCTATGAGTCAGCCAATGGGGTGGAGGCCCCCGGCCATGCTGCAACACTGGGCGGGAGTGAGAACCAAAGCCCAAAGTAATAGGGGCGGGTGTTGGCTATTATGCCCTTTCCGTCAGGAGAGAGAACTGTGCAGCCGTCTGTACAGAGAGCAGAGTTTCTCTCGCAGCACGATAAAGGCGGGTCGTTCCTCGGCGTTGCCCTTCCAGCACTCCAGCATGATGCAGTAGATCTCCGGAGGGCATGTGCTTGGCCGGGGGAGGCGGTAGCCCATGCTGATTTGCTGGATGGTTTCTTGGTTCGTCATTCCTGTAAGAAAACCAAAGAGGCTCCAATGACCTTCTTGAGTCATTTTGGAATCTTTATTCACCATCCTGTCATGGAGTTTATCCCCCAAATGGCTCAGGGTGAGTGTGAGGGGTCTAGCCAGCCTGAGAGACGGCCCGTATGGAATGGCTTCTCCTTCGCTGTTCAGTCCTTCAGCAAGTGCACCTTCCATGAGTAGCAACTATCTGGTTCAGGCCTGTGCCGTAGCTGCTCCATGCAATGGGCTGGCAGCAGTGGGGCCGACTGCTTCTCTGGGCCCCTGGGCGAGGCGGGATGGAGGTGGGGGCTGCTCCGTTCCCCAGAAGGGGTGGGGCTTCAGGCATAAAGGGCGGGGGCTTGGGCTGGGCAGCCCTTAGTGCTGCTGGGAGAGTGCACGCCTCCCCCCAGGCAGCGCTCTGTGCTTCCCAGAGTGCACTGCATGGGACTCCGGCAGCGATGTAAAGGGCTGGAACATCAGTGAAGTGGGGAGCTAGAGGACAGCAGCCTTGAGTAAGGGGCGCACAGTGAGGGTAGCTCTGCACTGCAATGAAACCAACCAACCCACAGCACCGAGTCTCGGGGAGGGGGAGGCTTTGTCAGTGGGTTGAGGGCTCACAATAGTTGGACAGCTGTTAGGGCTCAGGTCAGTTCTATGAGTCTCTCCCCCACCTTTGCCAGGTTGCATAGTCTAGGCTCCAACCTGCGTGTCTACACTTAGCCCTGCAATGCGAGCCAGAATCAGTTTAACCTGGGCGCCAAGCGTCCTGGCCATGGGGGCTTTCTGTGTGTCAAAGCAAAC